TTCCCCGCGGCGCCCGGTCCCACCCGGCGCGGGCGCTCGGGGCTCCACCTGGCTCTCCTCCCGGGGGACGGGCAGGAAACTTTTCCCGGCGCTGCTCTAGGGTACACGGGTGTCGCGCCTCCGCTTCGCGCCTTCCCTTCGGGTGCCCCGGGCTGCGTGTTCGCCCCGCAGACGGGTCGGGGTGTGAAAGGAGTCTCGGGGAAAGGCGATTCGCCGTGGAAAAAAGTTGGTGTTGCTAGGGAAGGCACATGGCAGATGCTTCTCGCCTAGCGACACGGGCTGTCACGAGACGCTGCCCTAGTGCCATCTGAACTGGCTGCACATCAAATGGAGCGCGGCTCAGTGCGCTGGTCCCGGCAGCCAGGTCACCCCGTTAGGTCAGTTCTCGACTACCTGGGAGGCTGATCTCCATCTGAGCCTAACGTGCCGTTGCAGGAACGCTGTACTTCTTCGTGGCCATCGGTGTTAATAGCAAGAAATGTTGGGAATAGTCAGTCGGAGCCGTGGAAGCTGGAATGTGGAGCACACGTGTGGTGTCTTGGAATAAGTTTCCTTTAGCTTTCCAAAGCACATGCCTTCCCACTCGCACACAGATTTAAAATAATCCCTTCCCAGTTGTGATCAAACTGTCTGTTTCGTGCATGGGGATTTCTTGGGTGATTTTTCCTGATGGATCCAGAAGCCTGGATAGTTCATTTTGAAGCCACTTGGTCAAAGCCAAGCACTGCATGATTGCCACGTCTCCATTCACATGGCAGTCCTTGTCACTAGGAGGAAGGGGCTTCAGGCTTCAGAGCCCATGTCCCTGCTTCGGTTCCAGGGAGACATCGGGAGACCATTGTTTAAGCTTAAGTGGAGCTTTAATTGAGCAGAGTGAACTTTGCTACATGTTTTGCTTTTCCTGTGGTCAGAGGTTCCAATGCACACTTGAGAAACTTAGCAGTCTCTGTCTCCCTGACTCCATGCTGGCTTTGGAAAGACAGGTTTTGCAAGGGGGTAGCAAAGTTCCTCTGAATACACCACACCATTTTCCTGACCACATAATAAGCTCTTAATGTTGGTTTAGTTCCAACAAAGGTATCCTAATAATTGGTTTCAAACAATGTAAAATTCCCATAACCGTCGGCCTGATACATATCTTGGCTTGGAAATTCTTGTTTGGTGGAAAGTTGTGCTTTTAGCCAAGTTTTGGACTAGTTAAACCAAAAGATTGCCTTATAGCATGGATTGAAATGTATACTGTTTTGAGCTAACTTGTCTGGAATGTCTTATGGATGTGCTTCTGGCAATAGCAAATAATTTGTTGTGGGTGTTTAGGTGATAATAGGGCGTAATTTTGGTCATAGTGAAACTTTGAAATAAGTTTGTGTTTCCTTCTATGCCCTGCCATGATTATGTAATGGATGGAATTATGCATAGTTTACCCATGGAAAAACTGCAGGTAAAGGTGCTCGGAGACTTGGAAGAAGATGGAAGATGTGAAGGTGAAGAGTAGGGTGGTCCTATGCCATCATTGGAGATTGCAAAGAGGGCTAGTCCCTGATTTCCTAAGGTGGAAAGAAAGGCTATCCCTGGGCCAGGGATAGAGGCTAGTCCTGCACAGGCATTTTTGTGCATACACTTTATGTAAAGTAATCGGTTTGTAGTTAGATTTCGGTGAGCATATTTCAAATTGACATCTTTTAACCATCTGCCATTAAAAAATTCTCAAGAGCTGTCCGGAACTATTATTTCCTGTTACCCTCTCTTACAGACAGGTACAGGGCAGAGCGTTCCTCTTTCCTTGCTCTCCTCATGGACCTTGAGGTCTGAACTCTGTAACCTGAGATATTTCCCTCTAATTTATTGATTTCTCTGGAAAGTTACAGGTCCCATGTTCCGTAACTCCCAGGATAGTGTGGAAAATGTAGCTGGAGCTCCAGGGCAGAAGCATGATGTGTGAGGTAATGAGCCTGGGGCTTGGAACTCTGTGCTCAGCTGCCCTTGTAGGAGCCCACCCAGCCCTTCCTCGGTGGGGAGAGGACTTGGGCATACTCTGCTACTGCAGAATTGCAGTCACAAGAGCAGAGTGTCAGAAGCTGCAGGTCTTACTAATGTGTTAATGTTTACAAAGCTCTGAACTGACTAATCTCAAAAGCAGTAAGAGCTCCTTGTTCCTGTTTGTCAGGCCAGGGGCTAATGCCTTTTACACTTCTATAGCACTGCAAGTGTCCGAAGAAGAACTTTTGAAGAAAAAGCAGGAGGTTAATCATGTAAAGTACTTTCAATTTTGAACATTGCAGGATGATTTTCTTTCTGAAAGCATTCTTCTTTGTAATGATGTGTGTGTTTATTTGGGTGTAGCTGGTTGGCTGTGTTGGTGTGGTAAATATCACAGACAGTTTTGACAAAGGAGGACACTAAAATGTTCACGTATGCATTGCACAGTCCACGACATAATGTCTTTGGACATCAGAAGCTGTATGTCACTTACCTAAAAAATGTAACTTTAATAGTTTTGTTCATTCATTTGTTTATTCTGGAATATAAATAACACCAGTTCATAGCCTCTGAGAGCTTTAGTGATAACTTAGGTTGCCCTGTAGTCAATACTGCTGATAAATTCTGTGTTTCAGACCTAAAAGCTGTGCCAGTTGTATCTCATGGTTCTGCTGGCTCCATGCGCCATCTCGGAAAAACTTACTTTGCCTTGAATTCAGAAGGCTTTTGAAACTGAGCTCCTGAACCTGCTCCTAAACTTCCTGTCAAGCAGTATTCATACAGCTTTTGGGCTCCTGGCCTCAGATTTTCACACAAAATAGCAACGCAGTCCTACGGTTTCTTAAACTGAGGGATTTTAGCAATGTGATTAGTCTTCTGGCAATTCAAAAGAGGGAGCAAATGTAATGACCTGAGCTACTTAACCTGCTTTTTTTACACCTGCTCTGTAGTTCTGCATTTTCTTCAAGAAGCAGTGTGTAGTGAAATGGTTAAACAGCTGCAAGAGGTGAAAGCAGGTTTTCAGCAGAATAAATTAAAATGCGGTCATCTTCATTCATTGCCACTCTACATCTTTAAGCTCCATGTGGAAAGAGTTGACTTCTAGATTGGTTCGATCACTTACTGGGACATCTGAATATTTCTCAGCCAGAGAAGATGTTGCTAAGTGTATGGGTAGAGTTGCTTGCTTTTTGGTTTCATGCTCAATGTGGCAATCTTGATGTTGGATATTGTTTTATAGGGAAGTATAGTAATGTGTAGTATTATAGCATGTGCCTAATGGTTTTATTGTTTTCTTCTCAGGTGACATGAGAGATGACATGACTGACCTGCAAGTCAACGGGAATGCTGGCCATTATCCTCTGGATGTAGAGGAGGTTGAAGAAGACTCTAGTGCACAACTTAACATGCGTGGAGTTTTTCTGCATGTTTTTGGAGATGCCTTAGGTTCAGTAATTGTGGTAGTGAATGCCTTGCTCTTCTATGGGTTGTGGAATCCATGCCCTCAAGATGGGCCTTGCTTTAATCCATGTGTCAATAATCATTGCATGGAAAATGCTACTTTATCCCAAACACTTGGCAGAGCTAACAGGTCTGAGCAAGAGAGCATTACTGTGGCTGGTCCTTGCTGGTTGCTATATTTAGATCCTGTCCTGTGTTTGATTATGGTCTGTATACTCCTTTACACAACTTACCCACTGCTTAGGGAGTCAGCCCTTATCCTTCTGCAGACTGTTCCGAAACAAATAGATGTTCATTCTTTGAACTCCAAGTTACGTACCCTGGAAGGAGTTGAAGCAGTCCATGAACTACACATCTGGCAGCTAGCAGGCAGTAGGATCATTGGCACTGCTCACATCAAGTGTCCTGACCCTTCGACATACATGATGGTGGCAAAGCGCATAAAGGAGATCTTCCATGACGAAGGGATTCACGCGACGACCATTCAGCCTGAGTTTGCCAGCGTTGGCTCCGAGTCAGGGAGAGGGAAATGCGAGTTGCCTTGCAGGACGCAGTGTGCTTTGAAGCAGTGCTGTGGAACAGGAGAAGATAGTATTGCAAAGAAGACAGAAAAATCTTCGTCACTTAGTATTTCTTGTTCAGAAGTTGTCATTGAATTCCAGAAAACGAGGAGGACTAAGTCGGAGAGCATCCCCTCAGTGAAGCTAGAGGCGAACACCGATCAAAACGAGCAGTTCGAGTCGTCTTTGTAACGCCCCGAAGGGTGCTGCTGCCTGAGCTGTAGTGACTTTGTCAACAGCTGTGTTGCAAGAGGAAGAGACAGACGTTTGAGATGCAGTTTTGCCAAGTAGTGTAATTGCTGAAGTTCTTGTTCTTGTCATATTGCTAAATAATAGGATGCCTGTTTTAAAGAGTATAATGTCATTGTCATGATACAATGTGTTTGTGTTGACTTGGTTTGACTGAGACAGACAGAAAGTGCACCGATGCTGTAACAACTTCAGAAAACCAGTTTCAACATTTCAGCAGAGACTTTTTGCTGTGCTTCAAATTAAGATTTTTTTTTTCCAGTCAAAAGGTATTTGAGGGATAAGCATGTAGGAACTCAAATTTGTGTTACAGATTTCTTGGACCTACTTTTTCCTTTAATATTTGATTTGTAGATATTTTAATATATTGTTTATTTAGAAGCCCTGAGAATACCAAAGTTCACAGAACATTTTTAAAGATATAACTACTAAAAACTGGAAACCACTTTGCAGTTTCATGTATTTTTCATAAAGCTATATAAAATAATAAATGTGAAGGCTTTTCTAATGAATTTATCACAGCATACTTTAAAGAGAACATCATGTGATTGTTAGAAATTGTCCCCACTCAGAGGAGGTAATTAATGGATATGAAAGGGTTATTTTCTATCAGAATGGAAATTCAGGCTACTGTGTACTGCTCCTTGATCAAGCCATGAGGCTGACTGATAAAGTAACACATAACTTTCCTATCTTTTGGGTTTTCTGGTGTTTTTCCTTTCTTCCAAGTTGTGTCTGGTCATGAAAGTCCTGGATGTTTAAAGAACCCTTGGCTGACAGTGCTGTGAGTGAAGAGCTGGAGCTTCATTTTTATCTGATGCTGAATTTACTAAGAGAAAAGAATTAGTTATGTCACTGAATGCCCTGTCAAGGAATGTCTGCCAAGCACTGACAGTATAATTCATGCTTTCAAGCACAGACAGTAGCTCTGCCACAAGTAACTCAGTGGTGCATTTTGCTTCTAGTTGAGTGTGTCTGTAAACACTTGCAGTGGCTGTAATCCTGGTCCCTGCCGTGTCCTCAGGAGCCTTCCACGGACTTTTGAGGAAGTGGCACAGGGAGTAGGTTTTTTCATTCACTGTATTTCACACTTTGAGTTGTTTTTTAATCACATAATTTCACTCATTAAGTATCAAAGTCTGTGGTTTAAAATCTTGACTCAGTCAATTGACAACTGGCTCTACAGAAGCTGTTACAGTATGCTGCCACTTACACCTTAGCAGAGGAGAAATTGGTGTGTGAACTCTGAATTTGGCAGAGTCTAGATGAGAGTTGAAGATAAAACATACAAGAAATCCTATCTAACCCCCTGACCCTTTTGATCCACTCTCACGTTACGTACAGGAACTAATGTCTTGTGATTAATTGACTGCTCCTATGCTCAAAACTGGAAAACAGCTCAGATCTTCCACTGTTTGCTCTATGACTCTGGACATGATATACACTCTGCCTCAGTTTCCCTGTTTTAACATGGGGATAATACCTACCTCACAGGGGTGTTGTGAGGCTTAACTCTTGTGTGAAGAGCTCTGAGATCTGTTACTGGAAGGCACTGAAAGAGTGTAAGATACTAGATTACGTGGTATTACTACTTCTACAAATGTATTGCAATACTCGGGCACAACAGAGGGAACTGAGGATAGTTTTGGCCTTACAAAATTCTTTGATGCTGTGGTTTTCAGGTTTTTAACAGTATTTAAATGTAGATTTTTTTAAAAAAAGAATGTTTTATTAGCGAAGGGAATGTAGCTTTGCCTCCGGATACAGAACACCTCACTAGTTTGCATTTCTAATGTGTGTCTCGTATCATAACTGCTCCTAAATAGTTCAAAATAGTCCTGCTGCTCATCGGACCTGGATTGGCCCAAGCCATGTCAGTGGTCTTACCCAACTTCTCAACAGAGCGTTGCAGTCAACTCTCGATTATCCTCGGGTGGATTACCAGTGTTGTGTATTCATTGCGCAGCCTACAGCGCCAAGACTCACCCGTGCGTCGGCCGAACGCCGCGTGCCAAAGCATTGGGGAGGCACAGGCATTTGGGCCACTGTGACATGAGCCCCTTCCCAGGGGCAGTGCTGGCTGGGGTGGCTTGGCCCCGTGGCTGCTCGGGTGTGTCTGCAGGAAGCTGCAGGGTGTGGATGGGAAGGTTTGGCTTTGTGCTGGCTTGGGGATGTTGGTGCTTTGCAGCCACCAGCATCGCTCACCTTTTCCTGTGTTTATGCTTGTTGTATAGTCTCATAAACTAACTTAAATATGTTAATATAGTATTTATATATGTTTTTGTTTTGTCTGAATTATCTTAACGCTTTCTTCTGTTACCTGTATATGATCTAGAGTTGACTGTTAAATGAGATCTTGTCTGAGACTACAGTTGCAGAATATGCTACCACTGCTAGTATACTACAGAGTGTTAACCAAGTAAATTTTGAAACGAACAAAGTACTATTTTTTTTAAAAATGTGTATCCTTGCTTTTTATGGTCAACTTTCACTGATTTGATCACTAGTTCAAAATTTGTCTCAGTCACGAGTATGAATTATTGAGGTCCTGCTGTATATCACTAATGCACCATTGAACTACTGCTCCTTTGTTTGTTTAAAAAAGTACCAACGGGACAAACCAGAGTGGCACTGAGAAGCCTGACTGACTTCTCTTCTTTTGCTCTTGTAAAAGGAGAGCAACTGTTAAGTCATAACATCATTGACATCATTGGTTAACAGTCTCAGTAAATGCATCTGAATAGATGGAGTTGTAGTCACTAATTCCATTTTAAACTATTTAATCTTTTTTTGTGTGCCAGAAGTCATATTTTTCTATTTCTGTGTCCATTGCAGGCAATGGCTAGCATAAATGACAAAAAGCTCTCCCCCTCGTTATTTTAATTATCAGGACAGGATGCAGATGTGATGATGATGATGGGGGCAGAGGGGGAGTTGTGTGGCCTCTCTGTCATGTGCTGTGCTGCACGTGCAGCACTAGCTGGTGCTAATGGGGCCTTTCAGTCTCTTTAGCCCTCCATGGTAAATTCCCTGAAAGCATATAGTGAGGTCAATGTGGTGGTTGTATCCCAGCAGGAACAGAACTTTTCCGTGTTCTGGCTGTATGGGACCCGACTGCAGCCTGCTAGCTTGTCATATAGCTTGGGTTTTTCTTTTTTAACCTGGTCTGTCTGGGGTTACACAGACTTGATTTGTTCTGAAGATCACAGCTCCCGAATACTGGGAGCATTCAAAAACACTGCGCAGTCTCTCTCTCTCTGTCTCTTTTTCTCTCTCTCTCTCTCCCTCTCTCTCTCTTTTTTTGTTTCCACAAAGCATGAAACTAGTGACTCTCATGTAAGTGAACACTGCAGTGGTGGGGAGCTAATTGTATTGTGTATCACATTCCTGAATTTTTAAAATAAAAAAACCTATGGAACACTGATTTTAAGGAAAAATAAGTTTGTACTTCAGTGTCTAGATTGTTTAGGCTTCTGATTAAATGTCTCAGAGATGTACCAAACATCACTGGGTGAAATGTATTGCGCTTACTGCACGTCTCCTCCGGGAACATGCTGGTTTAGAATCACCTCTTAGATGATACCTGCACCTAAGGTGCAGTGCAGAACTAATTCAGATGCCCAGTGGGCTAGCCACAGTACCATCAAGCTTCCTCTTTAGCGGGGTAAAATGTTTCTGTGGAGCTTGATTCCATAATCTTGGCTGGATTGCTTTCCATATCCACTCTGGGCTTTTGGTAATATCTGTTACTGCGGCATGGCGGTGTGAGGTATGGACATACACATAGTTAGGTAAAGGAACTAGTTCCAACTTGTGACTCCCCAAAACTCATGGCAAGGGCTCAGTCCTGAAAACTTCTGTGTTTTTGAATAGTTTTCTTGGCCTGACGAGTGCTTACTTGCATGCAAGGAATTACTTGTGGGAGTGAGTCCAAAGCTTCTGCCAGTGTGGCCTGGCTTTTAAAGAATGAAAGTACCTAGATTTTATGGGTGCATTAAAATCAGGACTACGGTGGTGTTTCTAAATTTGCTGCAGAAATACTGTCAAGTTGGTTATATTTTCAGAATTTATTCTTTTTCCCCATTCTCTAAAAAGAAAGGGAAAAAAGCCCACTGAGTGCCCTAAGACTTGTTAACAAGTTTATCTAAACTGACACTGCTGTTTGCTCCTGAAATCAGCCATCTGAATTTATTAAACACTGCCTGGTGGAGTTTGGGGAGGAGGGATAAAGATTCTTGCCATTCTCCTTCCCCTGCCCCCTGCTTTGACTGCACTTTCTAATCTCTTTAGCTGTGGAGAGACCAGGGGCAAGGGGGGGGTGTGGGATGGAGGGAGTGAATTTTGTAACTGTATGTTCTGAGTTCCATGTGGAGGGAATGGGAAATTCTGCTAACTATATTTAAAGGCATATAAATATGCTCTGACTATTTTAGTTTCATGGCATAGCATCAGTTACACCCTTTTTAGGTATGCATTAAAGTTGTTCAGCTCTGTAGTATCTTCATATTTTTCTGCCTCTGCTAGACAGAGAAAGAGGTGGATGCCTCATTTGCTGAGCTAAAGTCAGACTTGACAATTTTCCAAATCAAATGTAACTTTACTGATAACAGAAGGTCTGATGATTCCTTGTGACCTTTGCTTTGTGTGGTTAGCTGCCCATGAGGTACAGCACCATGTTTCAGCAGGCTCACATTTATGTTTTTTTGCATTCACCACGTTATCTAACTGGTTGAAGAGCAAAACCACCAAACTGAAAAATATCTTTCATCTCTGTGTCTCCAAAAAGCACATGGGATTCATTTGGCTTCTTTTTTTTCCGTGTCCTGGATCCTGTTTCTGAACAATGTTAAACTATAACTGGCATAGCTAGTGTTCATTGATATTTCTTTTTGCTTTCTTTCAAAATAAATAATAATTTTCTTTTTCTGTTTTTTTTTTGTCTTTTGTTTAAGTATTAAAGTGCTGAGAAAATAAATTAAGATCTTGAATGTCAAATCTTTTAATCGGCATTTCTTTCTCAGGTGAGGTCCTAGGATGAAGTTTAACTTGTAGAAACACACTTTCACCATCTCCCAGAACCTCAGAAACAAAAAGAGCACGAACAGGAGGTTAATAAATGGGTCGTAAAGTGATGGCCTCCAACTGTCTGCATTCCAAATGCAATTAAAAGAATAGTTGCTCAGTTTTAGTATCATGTGAAGAGTTAATTATGCAAAATTTTTTTCCTAAGAAAAAAAGCCTTTTGAAAAGAGTAAAAACATCTTCCTGTCCTGTTACTTGGCCACGGTTAAATATCTAACATACGGAGCAATAAGGTAGGCTTCCTAAAACAAGTCTGTACTGGTTTATGTCTTTGGAAGAAAGAAGATGCTTTGGTGCTTTTCAGCTTCGTTTGTTTCGAGTCGGAAACACTGAAGTTTGTAATGTTTGTTGGGAGAAAAGTACTGGCTGCAGCTGCCAGCAGCTAGTACTGAGGAGGGCAGGGTGGCTACTAATTCCTGCCTTGAGCTGTTAATGAGCCTGCAGTGATGAGTTCATTTTGGAGCCCTTCACTGGTGCAGCTTCAGCAGTCCCTTGTTCTGCTTCACGAAGGAAAACCCATTCCATATCAGTAGTTACATGTGCAGGAGCATATGTTTGGTTGTACTGTAAGCATTGCACGTGAGCTCGAGTTTTGCCATTTTCCA